CATCTAACTTGAATCAAAATCAAACTTTTTTCCTACAGAAAAATTAGGACTAATTGGTAAACAAGATAATTGATTCGGTTTACTTGGTGTTATTATTAGTTGTTCAATATTATTTTTAAATTGTTTTTTATTTTCTTGTTGTTCTGTTTGTTTACTCATATTAACTAATAATGTTGAATATGTATTATCATTAAATAATTGTTTTGTTGATGTTGATTGATGTCCATTTGTTTGTATATTATTTAGAATTGAATTTATTTTTTCATTTTCATGATCATAATCAGCAATTTCTTTTTCAAGTGATGCAACTTTTGAACGTAATTCTTTATGTTTATTTGATATATCATTTGCATATGTTATTAATTGTGCAGGTCGCTCTAATTCATCAATACCTAATTCATTTGTACGTAATTTTAATAAATCTATAGCATCATCTAATAAAGCTTTGATATTATTTTCTAAACAATTAACTTTAGTTTTTAATGTTTGATTTAATTCCAGTTCATTATCTAATTGTTTACGTAAATGTTCACGATAAATATCTGATTTCATATATGTAAAATAAGTTAAAAGACGTTGACGAAATTGTTCTAAATAAGTATTAATTGAATTTAAAAATCTTTGATCTTCTTGTTCTAATAAACAATCACGTAGATGATTTCGATGAAGATTTTCATTATTTAATTTTGTCATATTTTGATAATTATAACGTTCATTTTTGATTTGAAAATTTTGATTTGCTTGAATAAAATTTTCTGATGCATTATGTAAATCATTTAATGTTGTTTGATAATCTTTATATGATGTACGACGATGTTTTGAATTAAAAAATGAATCATCATTTGATATATCAGAATCAAAATCAGATTCATTATCTGATTGACGTTTTATATGAATTTTACGACCACGTGCACTAGTTATTGTCGAAGGATTAGATGATGATGATGATGGTAGAGGAGAATTTAATTTACGTTTGCGTTTTATATGTTGATTCGGTGGCGGCGGATGATTTTCATCAAGTTTTGTAGATTTCATTTGACGATTTTTTTTTAAATGCAATAATGGTGATGTTGAAGAAGTATTCGAAGAAGATGAATGATCATCGTCATGGGGTTTTGAATGACTAAATTAAAGAATTATTATATGAAAGAGTTATAATTAGACATGACCCACATCCAAACAGTCTCAGATTGAGTTTGTGTCATGTTAACTATAGAAGAAATTTTAGGGTATGTTGAGAACAAAAAACGAATGAAAAGATAAAACTATTTGGAGCGATAGGGATATTTTTTCTAAGATAAGATAAGATGAATAAATGGAAATGTATATGTTTGAAATTGTTCTAGAAAAAATCATTTTTTTAACCTCGATATTACTATTTATAGAATATTTTAAGAGTCATAAATACTATTTCGCCTTTGAATAAAATTAAAGAGTGCGTGTTTTTCACAGCACAGATGACGCTATCAGAGTTATTTATGCGAT